AATATTCATCAGTTCTGTAAGTTTCAAGGCAAAAGGTAAAATGGTTTTCCACTTATCGTGTTATCGGTGCTGCATATATGCTGAAAAAAGTGAAAAAACAGCATAAATTCCCTAAAAGTGACCCGATCATGCTGATTTTCGAACTTGACCTGCGTATTATGAATATTCATCAGTTCTGCAAGTTTCAAGTCAAAAGGTAAAATGGTTTTCCACTTATCGTGTTATCGGTAAAAGTGCACGGCGACGACGGCGACGACAGACGCAGATGATGGCTATATGTACAGACACATCTGTGTCTGTACATAATAAGAAAGATCCCAAAGACTACTGATATCTTAAAACAACAAAGGAAATTTACCACCGTGAATGGATACACAAATTCTTACAGTAAACAATGCATGGTCATGATAGAAATCAAGCACATGTGATAATGGCTATAATATAAGTGGACCAACCTTGTGGACACTGTCCAGGCTGACAGAGCAGTACTTTAGCCGTGTTTCCATTGACAGAAGGCAGAGGCAACTGAGGCAGGCCGTCAACACTGGAGCCTTGCTGAAGGTGTTGCTGGAATATCACCATATTTAAAGTTTATATGTAAGTTACTTTATGGATAAGTAAAGAGGTATGTTACAAACTGTCACTAAATATTGGAGATCCACTGAAATTTACAGAAGTACTTCTAATATTTAATATTAAAGATGGAATGAATATTATAGGTTGACTTCTAACAACCACTAGCATAAACAGATAAAACAATTTATATTATTTCAATCATTAAATGACAGCTATTTTTTTTTTTTTTTTTTTTTTTTTTGAAGCAAAAAAGTATCATATTTCTTGAAATTTATGTCTTTTAAAGCACAAACCAGCAAACAAAAGGCAGTGCATTATTTTGAACAAAGCATCAATGTTCAAGACCCCAAAGATGTTTGTGGAAAAAAAATACTATTTTTTGAGTGCATTACCTTGAATACAAACAGGTACTCCTTGAGAAATGCCCCCTGCTGAGCAGGTGTCTGTTGACTTGACCTACATAACAGATGCCTGAGAGCTGAGGCAGCGTTGTCTAACTGTTTCAGATTAAAGGACTGCCTGCCCACTGTGAAGTTGATGTGATCCTAAACAGAGTATTAACAACATCTCCATAAATTATATCTCCATAGAAACCTATGTGTTTAGATTATGTCTTATTTAGAACAAATTAATGTGTACTTGATGTTAAGTCTCTTTTTGATATTCTTTTTTCCTGGGATCAGCGATAGTGTTATATGATTTCAACAAGACTTAGTATGATTCACGAACAAAATGTAATTATTGAAATATATCACATCAGTTCAGCTGTCAAACTGAGGAAAATTGTCATGTACATCTGTTAGACATGCAAAATGAAAATGTCTGGTCTCCCAAGCTAAAAACAGTCTTAATTTCCATTGCAAGTATCAAGCATTAAGTTGGGTTAAAATATTCAAATTTGTCAGCTCTCCTACAACAATAAGCTTCTTAGAATCATTAGGTGCTCCATCAAATGAGGAGGGCACAACATCATTATTGTGTCAGTCACACTGGAGTAGCGCTTGCAATATCTTTGTTTAGCCAAATCACTCCTTTTTGTAACTTTTTTCTTTCGATGGCTTCAATTTAACTAAAACAAGTCAAGTCAACCTATTTTGTTTAGCCAATTTAAAGTGGTTTTAGCATTGGCTAGTGTTATTATTACCTCAGTCACAGCAGAAATATATCTGGCACAGATTACATATCTAGTAATTAATTCAGAAAATTTACGGCGAAACCTACCTCTGCGAGTATCCAGTCTTTCCCCTTATAAACCTGCAGTGCCTGGCTGTAGGCTCTGAGGGCGTGGCGTCTCTGGCCTGCCTTGTTAAACCTGTGTCCAGCCAGGATCATGTGGAATGCGTACTTTCTAACCATGGGCAGCTTCATGTTGATAAAACAGTGGCCAGCCTGCTCCAGCATCAGGGCACTGCGGAGGTCTGAGTCCTGGAAAGAGAGAAAAAATTGCAGCATTGAATATAATGAATAACATATAAAAGTCGGCTGTAAACATTGCTTGGACTTGTGATGTAATGTGAAGTGCGAAACCAGTCAAATCAGAGGCAGATCTTATGTTTTTATGGATATTACAAATGTCCAATGAGTCCAGTGTTTGGGGACACTTAAAATTTGAGGATATATTATTAACAGGTATTGGGTACAAAAACATCTCTTCTCAAAATGTAAACATGGTTTTAGACAATTTTCAATGAGAAGAAAATATAAGAAAAGCAGAAAAATTAAGACAACTTTATGGCAAGCTGTTAAAAATAGAAGTGGTGACTTGGAAATATATCCTTAGATCACTTTTTGTACATGGGTGATCTCCAGGGGAAGGGTCTCTGATATACTTACATATAAAGACTGTGAAAAAAAAAAAACATCAAAGACAATATGGAGCATATTTAAATCAAAACACACAAACATTTAACAGCACAATTTTACTATAAAATGAAATTGGAGAAAAAAATATAACAAAAACAAAATTACAGGTGAACAACAGAAATAATGTCAGGACAACTTGTAAACAAATACACACAAAAATGAACCAAAATATCCAATTTACAAGCATAGTTTTACATGGATTACATTGCATTTTCGTGTTCATTAAACATACCATGCAACAATAAACAACATCACGGGGCTAATTTCAGTATAAATCTTATTTCTGCCATATAGCTGAATAAGTTCAGCCACAGCAAAAGTAACGTGATTGATGTTAAGAGTCGCTTAAATACCTTTTTAACCAATAACTGAATACGCTGAGCCATGCCAAAAGTCAGTTACCCATTTTCAAAGCCAAAACAGTGATTTTCAATTAATTTTTTTCCTTGAAGCATTTTCCTTTATTGAGGACGGAGTAGCTTGTCTACCACAACAGGTGACAATTTAACCCAGCAAGATCCTAATGCAACAACTAAACACAATTTGTATAATAAATAAATAAATAAATAAATAAATTAATTAATTAATTAATTAATTAATTAATAAATTAATGAATCCTGTACATGGGTAGGAGTGTGTTTCAGTTTTTTTCACTAGATAATAAGCTTGTCCTGACTGTGACTTAGGGTCATAGAGACAAATCTCTTCACTTATTTCCAAAACTGAAAATTTCACCTACTGATACCATTCCAAAGAAAGTTAAAGTTCTTCTAATTCACTGCAAAGTAATCACAGCATTTGAACACAGAAATTTTTAAAACAGAAAATTGAAATTCTAATCATGTTAACTTAAAATTCCTACCAACTCTGATTCACTTTCATAGACAACAATGCGTAATGCATTGTATTCACTTACCTCTCCAAAAACCTTGATCGACTGCATTGAAATATACAGAAGAAAACCTCAAACAAAAATAACACCCAGGGTGTATAATAATCATACTAGAATACAGGGGATGTCACAACCACAGCACTGAGGCTTCATAAAATGCATAATCCAAATGAAAAAATATTGAAACCACAAAGCAGTCCAGTAAATCTTATAGACAGACAACATCACTGATACATGTAAAATTTTGTTAAATCAAATTCTCATTCAATGGAAAAAAATTAATGCATTTGCTCATTTTTAAAAAGGACTTCTGACCACTGAGATCAGATCCCATAAAATATGGGACTGGGTCTTTCAGAATTTTTCCAAACCATCTTTAAAAAGTACTAAGTGCATCAGTGTCCAATTTTTCAGTTAATATCCAACATTATGGTTTTTAGGGCATTATGGACAGGTTTATTTTCATTTGATGACTTTTTACAATTTAAAAATCATATCTTTCCGATTAACTAACTCATAATTAGATTCTGCTAGACCAGTTTATGTTTGGAAATTTCTTCATTGACTGGTCACTTTTCCTGTTTTGTGCCAGTCCTAAGAGCCAGTAGGCAATTTAAACATTGTGCTTATGTCCCCTCACCTCACTGGTCATCTTGATAAACTGCATAGCTGCCTCTGCATACATGCCTCTGCTCTTCAGTGCCTCCGTGCTCATCAGAGTGGCCCTGGTAGCAAACTGGGGAGACCTGGAGAATGGTAATAATAATTGAATTCAAAGACCTGCAGATTCAATTTTTTTCCTTTTTTCTTTTTGAAAGCATAAGTGAATAAAACCATCTATCAAAATAACAGATTTCTAATAAGATCACACATAGAGAAATTATTTTATATGTAGAAACTTTTAAGACAACCATTTTTAAAAAATTAACAACGTTTTAAGATATGAAGGCCTGAAATATAATCTTCTGAAGGCCCATTAATATAAACAGATTAAACTGTAAGAAATTACTGAAAATGCAATAAAATGAAAACAGCACAAAATTTAATGTCAAAATCTGGGTAAACTGTGAAGTACTTACTTTCACTGAAATTAAACTGTATTATTTAACCATATTCACTGTCTGCCAAACTTAATGCAATCAACTATTTGACTTACTTGCATGTGTTGAGATAGGAGGCAATGGCAGACTCTATATAATGTGCTGGATACTGTCTCTGTGTCTGACTACCCTGCATAAACACTGCCAGGCTGGCCATTTCCTGCAAGGGAAAATGTGGTAGATGTGATGCTGTCTCAACAGATGCAATTGGGGTCTCAATGTGACAATGAAGTCCTTTTGCACTCACAGATAAAATTTAAACATGGCCTCCAAGCATCCCACCAAACACCAATGCATTCACACACAAAACAGGAAGACTTCTTATCCAGAATAATCCAAACACAAGGAGTTACTTATATTGTAAATTACCATAATTAATATCTTAACTCAACAGAAACATTAACTTTTATATTAGAAGGCAAGTAAAGTATAGCAATGTACATATCTGCTGCTTGTGTGCACAACTATAGGTGTCTCTGGCTGTTTAATGCAAGACAGGACTAACCAGTGCTCCAGCGTGGTGTAGCCAAGCATGATCATTGTTGAAGTCTCTCTTCAGGGCATGATATGTCTGGTAAGCTATTTCATACAACTGGAACATGAAGGCCAGGTCTGCCAGCCGCCGTGTCTGCATTTCTGGGGCTTCAGGTGTATAGCTGGACATGTGAATTGTGAAAGAACAATTTAGCAAAAATTGCAATCTATGTTTTGCCCATGTTTGGCTTTTTGGTATAGCTGACAGCATTAAGACTAACTGGACAGCCATAGATGGCCCCAAGTTTAAATATCTGACCTGTATAATTCCCAATTACAAATAATAACTTAGTTAATTCTGTATGCTATGGAAATAACGTTACACTGTCAAAGGTACTGCACAAGATGATGAATAAAATGCTTACACCACTGTTGTATTGTTCGTAGGCTTGTCATTGGGTTTGTAGCCACCAAACCACTTCTTAGCACCACTGAATAAGGAACGCTTACGAGATGACACCTGGAGATATAAATGGTTTTAATGAAATGGCTTCAATGCAGATTTAAATACAAAACATTTATCCACCACAAGTAGTGAACCATGCCT